ACTCAGCGGGGTCGCAGCTGCTTCTGGAAGGCACCGAGATGTACCTTTTTGCGCAAATGGTCAAAATCAAGGTTTTGTAACGCGAGCTGTGCCACAGTGAAATGGCACTTGAGCACTTGAGCACTGGATAGGGCCGATTCCGCGTGGTACGGGACCCCTCGATCGTCTCGCCCTCCCTCACTGGTATGTTCATTGGGGGGGGTCATAACAAACACGGTACAGGATCGAGGTGCACGCTGCCGAAGCAGTGTCGTCCCCCCTCTCCCCGACGGCGATGGCGGTGTGACCGATCGAGCTACAAGAGGAACTTGTTCAGCATGATCAGAGCCGGACCGAGCAGTACCTCACTTCCTCATTGGGTGAGCTTCAGACCTCAAGCCCCAAACTCATCACCTTCGGCTCGTGTGGATTCGAACCACCGCCGGAATGGAAGCTTCCTGCTTCCATCAGAGTATGCCAGCCCTCCACCTGTTCCAGGGCGTCGGGAGGTCGGTCCAATATGTGCAGCGAGACGGGTGGGGAAAAAAGGGTGGGGGGGGGGCGGCAGATTTCGAGAGTCAAAGCAACTTGTAGACGTACCACACGCGCATATAGCACACAGCCAGACTCCCGGTGCCAAGGAACGGAGTTTCCATGGTCGCACCGATCATCCTGTTGACGCCGCAGTTTTCGGCCAGCATTTGCGGCGTGACCCTCAGTCCAATCCTCGGCCTTCTTGGGTCGCTTGTTGCTGTGGTCGCCACCGCTTTGGGCAACCTGCTCCTTCCAGTTCTGCAGGGCGCCATCAGCAGTGCCATAACCAGTGCAATCCAAATCCCCTCAGTTGACGTGCCTGATATACCCCCATTTCCGATCGAGAGCGGCCAAATTGCCATTGACTACGGCATCAACACCCTCTACGGCGAGGCAGGCACCATCCGCTCGTCAGCCGACTGGCCCATGACAAGCACGCTAAGTGCACCGACTTGGCGCGCGGGGCGCTCGTTCATGGCGCCACGCGATCTTCCGGCATACCCCTCAGTCCCAGTGCTGACACCGGCATCAAACGGGCTGGTCAACGCTCAGGTCGCCGAGGTTGTGGGCGATTCATTTTTGGCCAGTCTCTGGTACCTCGTTTGGCCTACCATCGCGGCCGGGACAACAAGCAGCACGGCCACCCCTTTCTTCTGCAACTTGGTCTGGCCTACCGAGGCTCCCGGCGATGACTGCCCATTCCCACCCCTCCTAGTTCCAGCCCCTCGCAACGACCCTCTCGGGGTGGTCTTGGCGACTGTTTTCAACGACCTCTTCGGGGGTAAGTACCCTTCGGGATGGAACTTGGCCATCATGATCCCTCCCGTCACAACCACGTTTAACAGCACACCGGCACCACTTGGTTCCATCGCGGCGGCATCGTCGGCAAAGGTCTACATCACAGCCTCCACCTCCGGCGACGACAGTCAGCAGCTCCTAGCTACTCTCACCTCTCCGATCTCCTCGCGCATCAATGTGCCGACATTTGATGCGGCAACGGGCACGATTGGTGACTTTGCTCTCTCCGACCTCCACGTCGGTGATCTCAATGCGACATTTGCCCCTGGCGTCGACCATAACACCTTCGTGACCGACTTGCTCGGACAAATTACCGCTCTGCTCAACCAGCCCATTGCCGATCTCATCAGTGAGGTCAATAAGGCGATCGATGCGGCCCTCCCCAACATCAAGCTGCTGATTCCGCCCATTCAGCAGGCGCCTCTCCCCACCCAAGACCTCCACCTCGACCTCACCGACGCGGTCCTGTCTGCGGTCGGCCCAGCCGGAGGTGGTGCGTACCTCATGGGCACCGCAAACCTGGACGTAAGCATCAGCCCGCATGCCTAGTGCTCGCCCCGCCGTCCTTCCGACTTACCGCGTTGACGGCACGCGCGCCGTGAGACCGGCCAAAGAGGTCCGCGTGCGGCCGGAGCGCGGAGGCCGTCGGGCACTGGTACGTATCTGCTCCATGACCATGTGACGCGCACAATATGCGCGCATGCTGCGCGCTCTTTTCCGTCTGCTGCGGCCCCGCTCAGAGCGGCGGGGCTTGGCAGGCGGGGTGAGGGAGCGCTGCCAGCTCCGGCGTGCTGGGTCGGATCCGTCCGTCGCGTCTGTGCGTGTACGTGCCGGACGCGGGTGTGACGGGGGCCTTTGTGTCGCCGGTTGACATGTTAGGGGGCGCCGGTTATGTCTTCTGAGTGCGGGTGGGCGGCGTGGGGGGGGACGTCTGCGGCCCGCGCACAGCGAGGTTTGGCATTACACAGCCGTTTGAAAGAAAGAAAAGGAAACATCGACCGACCCCCTGCGGTGCGCACAGTCGTCAGTCCACCGCCTGCCGCCTTGCGTACGTGCTAGGCAACTAGCACGAACTAGCTCCGGAGGCTGCAAACAGACGAGATACCACACCCTGCCTCTCTTGTTCACCCGCGGCCGGTGTGTGCATGCTGGATTCAGCTGGGCCCGTGGGCCGTGGAACCTCAAACGCTCGCCTCGGCGGACAGCCGCCGTCTTCCACACCGGCATGGCCGGAGAGCGTGCTCAGCCCGCCGGCATAGGGATCGGCCCTGTCCGTAGCCGCCCCGCCGCGCCGCGCCCCCGGAGGCGCGCCGCGAACCAACTCGCACAGCGCGCCTACGCTCACAGACTTCGACTGTACGCGGGAGATCGCTCATTCCGTGGCCATATCATAGAGCGCGCCCGAAGTGGACACGATGACGCGCTCGGCCGTGACGGCAATTCCCCAGAGGCGGGGCTCCGGAGAGCGGCGCCGGCGCCTCTCCCCGCCGCCGACAGGCGCCCTGAGTACAGCCGCCGCAGCCGCGCCAGTTGCCCGATCGAGCGCCGGCTGCACGATCGCGTCGGCGGCAGCGGTGTCCAACTCAGCGTCGGCGGCCGAGTCGGCCGCCGCGCCGAGAAGTGTGATGCAGCGCGGCTCGCCCTGCGCAGTGAGCACCTGTCCACTCGTCGCATGAGTGGGTTGCACACAAAGGAGCACCGCCCCCGGCCCCCCGCGCGTGTGTGTGAGCGCCTGCACTCTCGATGGGAGCAGCCGCCTCTGATGGCCGAGCCCCGCCTGTTCGCAGCCCGAGGTGTGAAGTGGGCGGGCGGCACGAGGCGACGGCGGAGGGCAGGAACTTGCAGCTGCCTCGCCGCTCTCTGCGACGAACACGAGGAGGTCCCCGCCGCGCCCCTCCCCGACCGCGACGCTACTCGGCCCGGCAAAGCGACCGGGCGCGGTGCCTGACGGAGAGTCCTTTCATTATGAGCTTGCCGTTTGCGTGTGTGCTGCGTGCTGGAGGGTCTCCGGTTGGCAGCACGGCTGAGAAGAGATCTATGTGAAACCACCCGGCGCGCCAAAGGAGCGCAGAAAGTCGCCGCCGAGCGAAAACACGGCGACGCGGCACTCGTAGTACTCACACACAAACAGCTCCTCGCGGGAGCAGGCGAGCGACCTGCTCGCAAACACCTCTGCTCACGCCTCGACAGCTCCCCATCCGTACGCGCGAGCAAGCAAGTGCGACCACGGTCTCGCGACTCGACGCGAGAAGCGGCGCTTGCTGTCCGGGCGCAAGTCACCTGCGCAAAGGACTGGGGCGTGGCCACAGGGATCGCTGCATGGCGGCGCTCGGCTTTCTCGCCGTCAAAGACGCGAACGCGGTCGTTTTGCGTGTCGGCGACGTACACGCGCGGCGCGCCGCCTTCCTCGTCCGCCGCTGCCAGCGCGAGGCTCTGCGGGCACGAGAGCGAGAGTGGGCTGGTCGAGGCGAGCACCGCCCCTGTCAGGGGTGGAGAGCGGTGAGAGAAGGGGGTGTAGCCCTGCTCGGTCCTTCTTTGGAGAGTGGTGAGAGAAGCAGTTCTCGAGGCTAGCTGTGCTGCGGACCGTCGGAGAGACGGATGCGCCGAACGCGCGAACGGTCCACCTGATCACAGCCGCCGGTGTATGTTTCGGCAGCCCGCTCTCTCCTAGCGAAGCGCCGCTCTCTCCACCTCGCAGACATACACCGCCGAGCCGCCGTCGCACGCCACGGCCCGCACCGCGCCCATCGGGCAGCAGACGTGCAGCGCGTCCGCCCGCAGCCGCCGCGGCGAGCACGCCTCCACGCTGCGCACGGGCGGGTGATCCGGGCAGCCGACGCTGCGCACAAAGCCGAGCTCCGCTTGCGAGAGGTTTACCACGCGCCGGTGCCGGCTGTCGCTCACCCAGACGCTGCCGTCGGGAGCGACGCACACGCCCGCAGCCTCACCGAGGCTGCAGTGCCCGAGGATCGCGTTGCCGCCGACGCCACGCGCGCCTTCGACCCTCACCTCGGTCCACATCCGGCGGAGCTCGCTCGCGGCGAGCCGCCAGGCGGAGCAGACGGCCGCCGCGCGGAGCGCGTGCCGGAGGCCGAGAGCCTCAAACGTGGGGAGGAGGATGTCCGGGTGGAGGGGGTGCTGCGTCTCGGCCATTGCAGGTGGGGCTGGAAGTGTCGAGGTCGTCGAGGGTGGCTGCTGCTCGATCGAGGGTGCCTAACCATGACACTTGAGCACTTGAGCCATTGGAGAGGGTCGATTCCGCATGGTACGGGACCCCTCGATCGTCGGATACCCATCACTGAGCCGACGATGCTATGGGTAGCCCCAGGGTGGCGCCCACCCCCATACCCTCAGGCACTTGCCTGCGCCCTGCCCGCGCACGCCGCGCACGCGCGCGCGCGCACGCCCGCGCACGTGCGCGCACGCGCGCGCGGCACTACGCCCGCGCACGTGCGCGCACGCCCCGCGCACGCCCGCGCACGCCCGCGCACGTCCGCGCACGCCGCACTACGCGGCACTGCCCAGGTTCCCTCAAAACAAAGCCCCAAATGACGTGTGAGTGTTAGAGTTGTTTGGTATTGCTAAAAATCTCTCTCTCTCTCCCTCACGCTCAGATTCCCTCACACTCAGATTCCCTCACGCTCAGATTCCGTGCAAGGGGGTGCCGAGGTATGCCACAGGCCGGGATGGAGTGAGATCTTGCGGGGCAGGGCGTGGGCTAGTGCGCGAGGGCGCAGGCAAGTGCCCGAGGGCATGGGGGGTGGGCGCCACCCTGGGGCTACCCGTAGCATTGTCGGCTCAGTGATGGGTATCCCGTCTCGCCCACCCTCACTGGAGTGTTCATTGGGGGGGCCATAACAAACACGGTACAGGATCGAGGTGCACGCTGCCAAAGCAGTGTCGTCCCCCCTCTCCCGCGTGAACACAACTAACATCTAACTGACGGATCCGCTCCTGACAGTGGCACGCACCGACCGCGCTGCGGCGCGTGCCACTGTCTTTGTTTGAAGTTAAAAGTCGAATCAGATCGCCGTCGGCGTTGTCCCCCGATTTCCTCCCACGGACCACCGCTTCCGGGCGGGACGCTTCCGGCACCGCTTCCGGGACGCACGCCGGCGAAGCACCATCGAGCTGCTGTACGGCGGCCCCGGCATCGCCTCCCCTGGCCTAGCTAGACTGAGAGGTGAGAGATATTGTGCACATGGTCAGTCTCTACAATATACTCACTGACACTGAACCTCCCAGAGCTCGTCCGGGTCCGCCACGCCCACGGCCATCCTGAGGGAGGGTGTAGAGGATGTAGAGTGTAGAGCGCTGTAGAGCTGTAGAGATGTAGAGCGCTCTGGAGCGCTGTAGAGCTGTAGAGCTCTACATCCGCCGCGGGACGAAGCGCCTCCGTTGTAGAGCGATGTAGAGCGCGATTTTGCTGTAACGCGGTTGTGCGGCCGAGCACGAAGGACTACTACATCGGCTACGCGCACGCGACGCGGCACATCCTCTTCAAGCTGGGCAGCATCTGCGAGGAGATGGCGGACGAGCGGTACTCCTTCGAGCTCCGCTCGCGCGGCGGCTCGACGCGGTACGAGCTGCCGTGCGCCTTCAGCGGCGACGACGTGTGGGAGAGCTTGGTGGCGAAGGCGAACGGCGGCGCGCTCGCCGCGTACACGAACGCGGGGCAGCGGTACGTCGTCACGGCGCCGGCGCTCTGCTCCTACGTCGTCGGCGAGATCCAGGGCGCCGAGGCGGAGGACTCCGCGCCGTGGCGGACGGCCATCAGCGTGCTGTCCATGCTGAGCAGCGAGCACGCCTCGTGGGTGGAGGTGTCGAGCGAGCGCGTGCTGAACAGCACCTGCGGCCCCAACTGGATGCTCCACGGCCACTGCACCGACGCGTACAAGCCGCCGTTCACCGAGGTGGCCGTCAACGCCCTCGACTACGAGGGGCGCTACTCGATCGCGGGCGCGATGGACCTGTACCAGTCGCTAGTCCGCAACTATGGCCCCGTCGAGGTGGGCGTGGCGAACGAGAACGGCTTCGACCTCCTCACGTGGCCGGCGAAGCCCACGCCGCCCGTCTTTGGCTGGCGGGCCGGTGTGCGCGCCCTGGTCGTCAACTCGCTCTACGACGGGTCCACGCCATATCTCGACGCGCGCTGGATGCGCGCCTCCCTGCCCGACGCGACGATCTTGACGTGGCAGGGCGTCGGCCACTGCGTCGCCTCGGCGGACTACGACCAGGAGGGAGTGCGCGCCTGCCTCGACAAGATGAGCCGCTACATGCGGACGGGCGAGCTGCCGGTGGACGGCGACGTCTGTCGCACCTCGAACGCCGTCGTGACCCGCGCGCGGGCGCGCCGCCGCCGCGACGAGCTGCTGGCAGAGCAGGGCGTCTGAGAGCCTCCCCCGCGCTCGGAGAGCCGTACTCGCACCGCACCGCGCGCACACACGCGCCACATAATTGTTAAATTCGCTCTGCCATCGCGCCGCATACGTGCGAGACGCGCGCACTGTGCGCGCAGGGCGCAGCCGGGCGCGGCACAACACGCGCTGCGCGGCTCAGCGGCAGCGCCTCGCACCGCCTGCTGCGCCTTAGGCCTCACTCGTGGAGAGAGTCTTGTTCGTTCGCGTTGTTGCCCGGGGGCCTCTCTGCTCTCTCTCTCTCCACTCGACTGACGTCTGACGACGCTGGACGCTCTCGCGCGTCGCACTCGGCGCGAGTCGCCGGCGCTTGGTCGTTGGGCCGGTTGCGGACCCCGCTGCCCGGGGCCCAATCACTCCTCGTTTGTAATATACTGTGCCAAGACCGAACCGTGTAAGGCTCACCCGACGACTGCGAGTACCGCGAAACGGTCCAACCCGCCGGCCGGCCGACGCGGGGGCGACCGCCGCGGCGGTTTAGACCAGGCTGCTCTCTGAGTCTGCCGCGCCTGAGTGGGCGAGCAGACGTCTGCGGTGGTCGCGCAGCAGCCCGATCGCGAGCACCGGCAGCGCCACGATCGCCAGCAGCTGCGCAGCACTGGCCCGAGCCGGCTGCGACGCGGCTGCAGCAGGCGCGGCGAGCAGCGCGTCTGCAGTCGGATACGCCTTGCGCACTTCCGAGCATGGGTCGATCCCGTCGACACCCTCCTTGCTGAGCGCCACCGCCGCCTGGTAGTTCTGGTAGAGGCTGTAGGCGGCGACGAAGGGGCAGGAGATGGGGAGGAGGCCGCAGGCAGCGTTTCCCGCAACGGCCGCCGCTGCCGCCTTGCTTCCCTCGACGCCGTAGCATTCCGCCATGAACTGCGCCCATTCGGTCTGGTTGGCCGTGAAGTTCGTCGCAAAGCCGCCCGTGGTGGAGGCCGCCCAGTCGCTGGCGGTGAGCTGCCAGTCGCTCACGGTATCGGTCCAGTTGATGGCCTGCGCCGCCTCCCACTGGCTGGCTGCGGCGTCGCCGGCCTCGGTCCAGTTGTGCGCAAAGGCAAAAGTGGCGCCGCCGGCGTCCGTCAGCTGCTCCGTCAGGGCGGAGGCGTTGAGCAGCGCGAGGGTCGTGGTGAGGGATTCGAGGCCCCACATGTCGTATTATACCGACTGTCGATGACACAAGAGCACTCCTTGGCGGCGAAGGAAAAAAGCCGCACCCAATTTTCGTGTAGTCGCCGCTCTCCGCGCATGGTGAAGCTTCACGGGTTCGAGTCGTCAAACATTAAGCAGCGGAGGTGTGCCGAGGGGGACCGGGAGGCGGTAAGCCGTCGTCGCCCGGCGCTGCTTGCGCACCGTGGCTGAGCCGTGGTACCTCGAGATGAAGGCCGCGACGGTTCCCTCGAGGTTCTCGAGGTGGATATCCTTTGGCCGCGTTGGGTAGCGAGGATTGGTGTGACGCGATCCACGCAGGCGTGTTTTCTGACGGCCGACCGTCAGTGCACGGAGTTGCCCCTTCTCCGACTGCCCCGGCTAGTTCCCGAGGTCGTCGGGTGTGACCCCTTCGTCCCCCGAGACCTAGCGCGGGTGGGTTGGAGTGGGCTCGCCCCGTTCCTCCCCATCGGGCCGCGTGAGCGGCCTCGCCTCGCAGATTCGTTTTCGCGCCTGGGTCAGGCGCGCGGGCGCATCCCCCGGGTCGCTCGACCAGCGATCCGAAGAGTGGCCGCTATGTGAGGGAAAGAGCGGGGCCCTCGACGCCTCAGTCCGGCCCTCCGAGGGGGGAAGGGAAGTGCGGGGTCCCCACGGGCGCCTCAGTTCGGCCCTCCCGAGGGGGGGAGGGGAGCAAGGGGGTGGGGGGATTGGGGCGGTGGGGAGGGGTCTCGGTTTCTTGTGGCTAACACTTGCCTTTCGGGGAGGGGCCTCAGTGCAGGCGATCCAGGGCAAGCCGGCTCAGCCCGACGTCTTCCCCTCCTCCCTCGAGGCAGCGAAAGGCAGCGAGAGGAGGTCTCGAGCGCAATCAGCGGCAGCGGAGCAGCAGCCGCAGCAGCAGCTGCTGCAGCAGCAAGCAGCAGCCAGATTGCTGCCGTTGTCTGCGCCGCGATCCGCCGCCGCGCCGCCGCGCCGCCGCCGCCTGCGCTCGCCGCCGCCTCGTAGACGACTCCTCTCGCGCTCGGAGAGCCGCGCAGCGGGCCGCGAGGTTGTGGTCAGAGAGCAGCAAGGTTGAGATCCACAAAATCGGCCAAATTTGAGGTTGCTCGAGAGAGCCTGGAAATGGTCCCGCGCCGTTGCCCCGGTGCCGGCGCATCACGTCTCAGCCGCGATGGGCCGGTTCCGCCGCGCAGTCGAGCAGCAGGAGCTCGGAGGCAACTTTGTCGACAAACTGGTCGAGCCAAAAATTGGCGAGGAAGCGGCACCGGCGGCACGCCGGGACGAATCCGGACTGATCACATTGTTCGGCACCGCGGCGGCGAGCCGCCGCGAGCCCACAGGAGAGCTGGGCCCCGCGGCACCAGACCGCGCCGCCAGCGAGGCGACGGTTCCCGGAAGGCGCGCGATGATCGCTCTCTCTCTCTCTCACTCACTCACTCACTCACTCTCTCTCTCTCTCTCTCTCTGTGTGTGTGTTGTGTCGTGGTGTGTGTGTGTGTGTGTGTGTGTGTGTGTGTTTGTCCCCAGGCGCAGTTATTGTTATGGTGTTATGGCTCTCGGGGCATAGCAGCCCATAACATGTTATGGGCTGCTATGAGAGAGCCGTCCCGGATCCACGGTGTTATGGCCCGAGACGCAAGCGAGGCCACACCGAACTGCTCGCCGCTGGAATTTCGTTTCGCGCGCTGCCGCGCGCGAGTAAATAAAAACGGACACCTCTACTGTGAGATGGGTAAAAAGGAACAGGTCCCGCGCGCGAGGTTCGGTCGGCATCGATCGCCAAATATTTTCTCTTTTGCCCTCAAGTTAAATTCAATAACACGCGCTCAGCGGAGCCGCCACTTCCAACGTGCCGAACAGGGGCGCGTTCTGCTGCTTGCTCGGAATCTCGACGACGGCTAGCCACATGTCCGAGCCGAGGTCGGATGGCCGGGCACACCAAACGGACATGACGCTCTGAAACATTTTCGGCGTGTTGACAAACACGTCGCCGACTCGTCCTTCGATCCCTCGGGAAACGCGTAGATTTGCAGGCCGTTTGACGCGTTGATGGCCCACGCCTCTCGGATGTCAGAGCACACAGCGAGTTGTCCGTGTGCTCGTCCTCCGCCGACACATAGTTGAAGCCGGGAACCCTCTTGAAGTCGGAGACGCGCAGGTCACGCAGGTCAACCGACGAGGGCTTCTGGCTCTTGAACATCTTCATCCGGTAGGCCATGGTTGTTGGCGGGCGCTCCGAAAGAAGAATTTTACAATTTCCGAAAGAAGAATTTACCGGCGAACGCCGGGATACGCGCGGCGGGGCTCCAAAAGAAAAATCCGTGGGACACATAACAGCTGTTATGATGCTCAGCGTGTCTCGCAGATTGGTTGTAAAATTCTCCAGGCTTCCAACTTTTTCCGGGGTATGGTATGGTACCCTCGCGGCCCAAAGGGTGGGGGGGTATGGTCCTGACCGCCCGAGGCCGGCAGCCGGGAGGCTGGGTCTGTCAGCAGGCGGGGGGGTATGGTCTCGAATTGCAGTACCATACCATGCAAAAAGTCCGAACCCAGAACACGCATTTGCGCCAAAAATCGGGTGCACCACCTCGTCGCATGCACTGCCCGTCCGTGCGCTGGCTCCTCCTCGGCCTTGCACTGGCGTTTGTGGCCCTGCACATCTTCGACGCTCGCACTGTTGCGCCGGCGTCCGGGGCGGCCATGTCTCCTGACCTCGCCCGGCGAGCGCTCTCGCTGTACCGCATTGCCACCACCGCGTGGCCGGCGCGCTCCTTCGGATCGCACCGTGCGCGTCTGGTGCTCGACGCTCCCGGGGACATCGCGTGGGCGCGAGTCGAGTGGCGGCTGCCCGGCCTACCGATGGCCAATCGCAAGCTCATCCTCGTCGACGAGAGGACCGGGAGCACCGTGCGCGGCGTGCATGTCGTGTCGGCGACCACGGAGGCGGCTGAGATCCTCTTCGACGCGTCGGACGAGCGCGGCGGCGGCGGCGGCGCCCGCCGAATCGCCCTCCGCCGGCCGCGGCGGCGGAACCAGCGTGACAGCTCCTACAGCTATGACTACGACGCAGCCGGGGCGGAGGGCCGCCGCCGCCGCGGCTCGAGGAGGCTGATGTGGCGCCCGCGCGGTGCGCCGTGCGGCTGCAGCGGCTACAGCAACGCGCACGGCTACGGCTCCTCGTGCAAGGCGTGGGAGTCGCACCTCGACCCTGTTCACAGCTGCGGGTGTGAAGAGACGCTGTTCACAGTAGGCGTGGGAGTCGCACCTCGACCCGCAGCAGGTGCCGTGGTGCTACGTGTCCGCGGCGTGCGGCGCGCCAGACGTGCGGCGCGGCTCGTTCGGCGAGCGGTTTGTCGACTGTACGGCGGAGGGCGAGGAGGAGGAGGAGGAGGGCGAGGAGGAGGAGGAGGAGGAAGAGGAGGAGGAGGAGGAGGAGGGCGAGGGGAGTTATGATGCGAGCTACGACGGCGACGAGGATAGCCACGGCGCCACGCAGAGCACGCCGCGGGCGGGCGGCACGTACAGCTACGACTACTCATACGACGAGGAGCACCCGGTCCGCGCGTGGGCCCCTCGGCGCGAGCCCGGGTGCGGCTGCAGCGGCTACAGCAACGCGCACGGCTACGGCTCCTCGTGCAAGGCGTGGGAGTCAATCCTCGACCCTGTTCACAGCTGCGGGTGTGAAGAGACGCTGTTCACAGTAGGCGTGGGAGTCGCACCTCGACCCTGTTCACAGCTGCGGGTGTGAAGAGACGCTGTTCACAGTAGGCGTGGGAGTCGCACCTCGACCCTGTTCACAGCTGCGGGTGTGAAGAGACGCTGTTCACAGTAGGCGTGGGAGTCGCACCTCGACCCTGTTCACAGCTGCGGGTGTGAAGAGACGCTGTTCACAGTAGGCGTGGGAGTCGCACCTCGACCCTGTTCACAGCTGCGGGTGTGAAGAGACGCTGTTCACAGTAGGCGTGGGAGTCGCACCTCGACCCTGTTCACAGCTGCGGGTGTGAAGAGACGCTGTTCACAGTAGGCGTGGGAGTCGCACCTCGACCCTGTTCACAGCTGCGGGTGTGAAGAGACGCTGTTCACAGTAGGCGTGGGAGTCGCACCTCGACCCGCTGCAGGTGCCGTGGTGCTATGTGTCCGCGGCGTGCGGCGCGCCAGACGTGCGGCGCGGCTCGTACTCGGAGGCCTACCTGGACTGCACCCCAGTCCGCGACCCGAGGCCCGCCACCGCACGACGCCTCTCAACCGCCCGCGGCCGCCGCCTACCCGCTGCACGCTCTCCCGTGCGACCACGCGTCCACGACATGTCCACGCCATGCCCCATAGGCCGCCGCTACCTGCTCTACTACCTCCCGTACGACGATACGCCCTGCGTCACAGGCCCCTCCATGCCACTCCGTGCGCCTCGCGCTTGTCGCCACGACGTCCACGACGTGTCCGGGACATGTCCTCGTTAGGCCCCGCCTCCTCGTGCGCGTCGCGCTACTACGAAGCCGGCGACTCGTACGAGTCGCGCGGCTCGCGCCACTTCCGGCGGCGCGCAAAGGCGCTCGCCGGCCGCGCGGGGTGGCGGTCGCGCGTGGCGCGCGCGCGGGTTGCGCAGTTTGAGGCGTCCGACTGAGAAGGACGGCTTCCGGCCGGCGGGCGGTCGACACCAGTCTGGACTCGTCAGCGATGTGTTAGGCCCGGACCGAGAAGGACGCGTTTCACCCGATGGAGGTGGCGGCGAGCGCAGCGGAGACGGAGGCGGTTCGAGCGCGTTGCGCCGCGAGCCGGCGGCCGGCGCTGGTTTGGGCGGAGGGGAGGCGACGGACAGCCGCGATCTGGCCGAGATCTCGCCTCGTTGCAGTCGGACCGCCCGGGTGTCCGAGGGGGGGAGGGGAGGCGACCACACGACCCGCTCGGGCGCAATGCACTCAGTGTTGGTTGAGCCAGATGGGTCGATACCCCCCCCCCCCCCAACTCTCCGGACCGGTCGCATCGCACAATGGGATGTCGTGCCGGTGGTCTAGTGGAGTAGAGCAGAAATCTGGTAGGCGGTACCCGATCCGGATGCTCGACCGGCTGCCGCTGCGTTGGCTGGGCAGGGGCGTGGCGCCGCCCAACGCGACGGCCTTCCGCGGCGAGGCGAGCCGCGGGGAGTTCTTTGTCTTTCAGCTGGGCGAGCACGCGCCACTCCGCCCCAATTGCACGGCGGCTGCCACCGGGGAGGAGACCTAGCGTGAGCTTGTGTTTAGGCGTGCACGCGCCACTCCGCCCCCTGCAGCTGCTGCCCTCGTGGACGGGGCTCGCGATGGGAGGCCGCCCAGCCACGCGGAGCAGCAGCGGCGGCGGCAGTAGCGGCAGCGGCAGCGGCACGCGACGAGGCAGCGGCGGCGGCGGCGGCGGCGGCGGCAGCAGCAGCGGTAGCGGCAGCAGCGGCGGCGGCAGCGGCGGCAGCGAGCTTCCTGCTGTGAACAGGCGCCTTGTCCGGCACTCCGCCACGCACCGTCTGTGAACGGCGTCTCATCACACCTCTCTGCTGTGAATAGGCAGCGAGCTTCCTGCGTGGCGGTTGCGGTGCATCAACACGCCGAACGGCTCCGCGCAGGCGGAGGGCGGCATTCGCGTCGCGGCAGGAGGGGTGCAGCGCCTCTGTTTCGGTGCCGGCGTGCCGCGCGCAGGCTGGGACATGTGCATGTCCGGGACCACATCCGGTAGGTGCAGCCCCTCTGGTTCGGTCTCGACGTGCCGCCCGGCGCCAGGCCGGGTACATACAGCGGGACAGTGAGCGTATCGACGGTGCTGGCGGCCGGCGCACCCTCGGAGCGAGGCGCGCCGGCACGCAGGTGGAGGGAGGGGAGCATCGGTGGGCGTGCGGTGATCGCCCCTTCCTCATCGTCGGCTCACTCACTCGCAGGTGGACGGAGGGCGCTTGTGACCACGCGTGAGTACTCACTTTTGAGTAGCAGTGACACGGCGGCGCCGCAGGTGGACGGAGAGCGTGTCGGTGTCGGTGTCGGTGTCTGCAGAGCTGGCCGTGCAGCGCGGCGACAACGAGCTGTGGCGCCACTCGCGGCTGCGCTGGCTCGACTCGACGGCGGGGGAGGGGGCGGTCGGCACGTCGGCCGCACACGGCGCCGCGCACCGCAGCCGCGGGGATGTGTGGGAGCCGATCCGCCTCGACGCGTCTTCGCTCAGCCTCGCCGCGTCGGGCCGCCCGCGCGACTTGCGCCGCCGCGTCTTTAGCGCGTCGTCTGCCTCCACCCACAGCGCGGCCCCTCTCTAGGCCGCCGCACCCTCCGCCTCACGCGGCGCGGCCTGCCCGCTTCGCTCTCTGTCGGGGCGGTCGAGCTGCTGGCGGCGCCCGTGCAGCTCCGGCTGCATGCGGACGGCGGGGGCGGGGGAGGGGTCCGCGAGATGCGCTGGGCGCCGTCGGGGGCGCCGGCCTTCACGAGGACCGCCTCGGGGGGCGTGGAGTGGGCCTCGTCGGGCGCGCTGTCGGCCGGCGAGATGGGGGCGGTGCCGGATGGCTGCAGGGGCCTCATTGTCGAGGTGGCGTGGCGAGCGGCAAGACGGGCGGCGGCTCGTCCACGCCGCGCCGTCTGAGACGCGTGTGCGACCACACGCCCCGCAGGTGCGCGGCGAGCTGCAGACGGACGGGCTCGCCCAGCTCGGCCTCACTCTCGCCGTGCCGCCCGGCGCGAGGGGCGGCGACGGCCAACCGCACGCCGGCTGCGCCCTCTCCGACGTACAGCTGGCCGTGCCGCTGCGCGAGGCGGCGACGAGGCTGATGAATGGGTTCGACGTCAAGGGCGGCCCGAGGCCGTCCGAGGTGGACTTCAAGTGGGACGACCCCGTCGAGCACCGCACGCGCGGGCTCAACTGCCGTGTCTGGCTGGGAGGGCCTGACGCGGGCGTGCAGCTCAACCTGCAGGGCGTCGAGCAGGTCGCCTCCCCTCCTCCCCTCC